GAGTGACTATACCAGGTTTTAGCTGACGCAATTTACTTACACAATTTTGATGTGTTGTTCATATCTGCCCCTTAGGTGCGGAATGTGAAAACTGTATATAGCGAAGAAGTGACCAAAGTGCAGAATCTTGATCAAGACGTGTATCTACTAACTTGATATGAAGTTGTTTTCTTCGATCTCAAGGAAAAGTCTCAACAAACTTATAAAAGACACTCTTAACATACATAATTAACTGCAAATTGTAACTAAGGAGAAAATCGATGATATAAAACTTTCCCAGACTAGGTTTTGTAGATATTCAGTGCTATTATCGATGCGAATGAGGTCGATCCAGCGACTTTTTGTCAAGATATATACTGTTTTAACGTAAATAGACAACTCACTTTGAGCTACAAAATGAATAAGTCAAAGACAGAACTATTTTAAGGATTAGGTATTTTTTGATTTACGCTTTATTTGAGCTCTTCACCAGCAGCTTGTAGATAAATAATGAGTTGGACTCTACAAGTATAATGTAAATAGCAACGTTTCAGTATTTTTCAACACACTCCACAGCCTTGAGTGTCGTGTTCCTCAGGCGTTGTACAGTTGTACAATCTGTTTGGAGAAGCTCGTTTTTTCATGTCTCTTTATTTTACCTTTACACATGTTATACGAACAGTGTATAAAATATCCCGCGGATATTTGTTTTTTATTAAAGCGGAAGAAAATTTAGCACGTAATCATCTTTCTTGGATAACTAATGACATAAATGAACGGCTTTATATTACAAGTCAAACTACTTCGTTCATTCTTGTACCTAGTTGAACTGTATGTTAATTATCCTGCTATGCTTGAGGAATTCTTAGCAGACTAGATCATTGGCCGACCTTTATTTTCCAGCGCTTTCTCCGGTCTCACTTTTGTACCCGTCCCTACCACTGTAAGGTTACGGGTAGCGCCGTCATTCTTGTCGAGAATTTTGTTGTTGTGCAATCGCGATCAATACTGATTTTGTCACTTGCCTCAGC